GGGGGCGGTGTGGGCAGAAGCCTGCGGCTGTTTTACGTGCTTATAAGCAAGTAGGATCCGTGCGGGGAAAAGCCTGGCTCTTAAGCCTCTTTTCTTAAATCTCCCTTCAGACCACACTGCAGACAGATGAGGTGAAAAACGTTCCTTGTGGCACCAGGTGAGATGGTCAGGTGTTACCCCCTGCAGTCCTTTATTTTTTGCTAGAAACCTTTCAATCCTTTCCCTTTCCCCCTACTGCTTGCTCCAGCATGCTCTAAAACATGTAGATTTGTTTTAATGGAGTGGATCTCCCACACACCCCCAGCTGAAATCAGTGAAAGGCTCTGTAATGCATCACCCAGGCTGATGAGCCCTGGGGTGGTTTATGTGCAGCCGTCCTCAATGCCTGCACTGAGTTTTCCAAGCCTGGGCCCACATTCCACGTTCCAGTTTCTGGAGATGCATGTAATTGAAACCAGGAGCCTGGTGGAAGGAGTGGGGCATTGGGGGGTTGCTGGAGTGCTGCAGCGGTGCTGTGTGGCCAGGCGTGGGTGCTGTGCTCAGCCCGCTAGAGGGGAGTGTCCTCTGCTCGGAAGCTGCCCAGGGCACTTGACCTGCAGCAAACTTCATTTTTTTTCCTCTTTCTTCCTTTTGCAGTGGAGGAGTGATGATTTATTTTGACAGAATTGAGGTGGTGAATTTCCTCATCCAGAGTGCAGGTGAGTTCTTCCCCTGTGACCCTGCAAATCCTGCAGTCCAGTGTTGTTTGAGCTCCTGCTAGCGTGAGGTGAGGTGATGAGGTTGTGTGTGGTCATGCTTTGATTTAGAGCTGGGGTGTACCATGGGTATTCCCCTGTGGGCCTTGTAAAGCCCCGAACTTCCTGGGCAGAATTTTTTAACCAGCTCTCCCAGACATTTTGTGTATTTATTATTTCTTGCACATACTTCTGTGCTGCTAGTTGCTGTGCTAATATCTGAATACCATCCATCACTTTTATTATTTGTGTTGTTATGGCCCCACTGGGCTTTATGCTTCGATGAAGAACTTCTGATGTGAATAATAAGGTGTGCAAGAGGTAGGGGAGACAGGGTGCCTGTGAGCAGAAGGCTGGCTCTGAGGTCCAAGGAGAACAACCTGTGCAGCTTGTTTTCTCCAAATCCTTTGGTTTTTAACATCCTGTTGGTTACAAGTGTGGTATAACTACCTGGCTCATCAGTGGGGCTGCTTTGAGACGTTGGTTTTATGCCAACTTCAGGGTGCTCTTCCCTTGTCGTGCATAGAGTCCGCTGTCTCTGTATTCTGCAGCTCAGACACAACCTGTGCATGTTTGCCAGTAGTATTGAGAGGGCTGTTACAGGTTAGATGGCCTTCTGTTTACAAAGCATGCGACAGAATGTCGGTTAGGGTGTTATATTAGCAAGAAATAAAACTTCCCCTGAACAAAGTATTTGTTTGTGGTGCAGGCTTCTCTTGTGGATGGGTTCCCCGTTTCAGAGTGGCACCGCGACTCTGCTGTGACTGAGCCATGAGATTTTCACTGCAAGTGGTCAGCCCAACCCAAGACATCCCTCCATCCCAGCTGTTAACGCCGGTTTCTTCTTTTGTAGTGTACGACATAGTGAAGAACTACACTGCTGACTATGACAAAGCTCTCATCTTCAACAAGATTCACCATGAGCTGAACCAGTTCTGCAGTGTCCACACGCTGCAGGAGGTCTACATTGAGCTGTTCGGTGAGCTGCCCCTCTGACCTCTTGCTGTTGGATCGATGGCTCCTTGGCTGGTGTTTCTGACGGCCATTTGCATGGTCTGCTGGCACAGAAGTCACCACCCCCAGCTGCTGGGCTTTTTACCTATTAATCCAGCATATGCTTTGTTTGGAATTGGGGTTGTTAACCAGCTACTGTCATTTACTCCTTGTTGTCTTGGTGTGCTGAGTGCTCCAGTATGTTGTAACAAAAAAAAAAAAAAATCAAAAGTTGCCATAGGAGCAGAGGGCTTTAGGGAAGAAGGGAGTGGTAATTCTGCGGTGTTCTTTGTGTGTTTAGCAAATGTCATTTGTGAAATCAGCTGAAAGTTTGCAGTGTCCAGATGGAAAAGCCAGTCTTCTGCTCTTTGCTGTTACAAAAAGCATGAGCAAGCACTCCCTGGCCTGGGGATTTGATTAGCTTTGTGTCGTGCGTGTTGCTGCGATGCTCAGGCACTGCATGCAAGCGCTGGAAAACAGGACTGCTTGGCAAGGGCCTGCCAACCTTCCCTCCCTTGCTTCAGGCCACTGTGAAGTCAGGCAGCACAGAGGCTGGGAAACGGTCTGAAGAAAAGTTGTGGTTTCTTGGTAGAAATAAACCAGTTGCTGCCAGTGCTGAGTGTTTTGTTTATGGCTTTGGACTGACAAGAAATCCCTTCCAGCACTACAGCAGTGCTGACTGCGGGCAAAGTGTTGCTGTGAATGGGTTTGGACCCTGAATGGACAGAACTTGTGCCTGAAAGAACACAGGATGTTTGCAAACTCCTGTCCTCTGTTCAAACTGGGCTTTCCAAGAAGCCTGGCTTTCTGATAGGCCTCTGCACAAGGCGCAGAACTGGGGCTCGGTTCTCCTCCAGTTCCTTTATGGGACTGCTGGCGAGTGTACTGGTTCTTTGCCGATGGAGTCTCCAGATGTCGGCAGCTGCTGACGACAACTGCTTGAAACGGACTCAAAGCCGCTGATTTGCACAGAAGGAACTTGCATAAACTCCCGTGTAACTCTCTGTTTGAGCTGCATGTTTTCTGGCTCAGGAGTCCTGAAACGGGGCGCAGCCCATTTCGAGCAGACTTAACGTCGTTCTCTGCCCTCACATCTGCGAGCAGGTGCAGGAAACTGATAACAGCTGGTTCCTAAACTCCTGGCTGAACTTCATTGTGAGTGTGAGTTCCAGATAGCTAAACTGGAACCAAAGCAAATAATCAAGGAGTGAGATGTGATCGCTTTCAAGGCCATTACATTTTTATTTTCCCTTTGCACCTCTCAGCAGGCCCCAACTGGAAAGACTGCTATCCCTAGAGCTTCTCACTGAAGCAGGGTTTTGGTTTGTATTTCCTTTTGAAATTTCTTAGCTACGCTGGAGTTAGCTGCTATCCATTGAGCCAAACAGACGTTACCGATGATTTTTCTTTTTTTTTCAGCCTATTAAAATAACTAAGGCAGCCATTTCGCATTTCTGCCTTTCCATTTTCCTTGTCTTCTGCTGGCGCAGATGCCGTTCCTAATCAGTCACCATTTAGCTGGACCACGTTACTTCAGGATCTAGTTGGGCAGATAGCAATGCGGAAGTGCGTTAAAGCACAGATTCTTTATTGTGAAGATGCTACTTCTGACTCGGAAAGGTTCCAAACTGCAGGTTATGGGGAAAAAAAAATAAGAGTTTAATTTTAAGCCTGCCACGTTCTTATGGTCTGTCCCAAGTGTTTGCTGCTCATTGATGCTGCTTGATGTGCTGAGAGAGATGGGAACCTGCCTTGGGGTCGGGGTTGGTTTTTCTCAGGCCCAGCACTTCTACATCAAACTTACATTTGTGCTTGCTTTCCAGGAATAAGAAATCTGAGCCATTCCAGCTAATTCTGTAGGTGTTGACAGCAAGCTGCCTTGCGGGGTTTTTAGTTACCTTTTTTTTTTTTTCCCCCCCAATCAGATCAGATTGATGAAAACCTTAAACTGGCCCTGCAGCAAGACCTAACGACAATGGCCCCTGGATTAATTATACAGGTAATCAGGATTTCACTTTGAGATGTCTAAGGTGCAGATAATAAGGAGGGGTAAGGGCTAAACGGAAATAGGAAGCTGTGAAACTTTTTTTGGTAAGTTGCTGTGTAGTACAGACTTTGTGGATTAATTATACAGGTAATCAGGATTTCACTTTTGAGATGTCTAAGGTGCAGATCATAAGGAGGGGTAAGGGCTAAATGGAAATAGGAAGCTGTGAAACTTTTTTTTGGAAAGTTGCTGTGTAGTACAGACTTTGCTTAATTGAGGAATGAGAACAGGATCCTTTCCATCCCCTCTTAGCTTTGATGTGTGGGGTTTCTTTTGGTGTTATTCTGGGTACTGGTTTACCCAGGTTATAATCCCCTGTCGTGTCAGGAGATCATTCGGTCCTAACGTTTGCTCTGTGGAGTTTGGACCTGGTCGCAGTTTCTGCAGCACGTGAAAGCTTTGTGTGGCAGAGCATGCCCGAAGTGTTAGCTCCCCCTCCCTCTGCAGCCTTGGGACCGTTTGGCTTTTCCTTGTTGGCTGCTTGCCTATGTTTTCTTCGGTTTCTCTTTCCAGGCAGTTCGAGTTACAAAGCCAAACATCCCTGAAACAATCCGGAGGAATTACGAGCTCATGTAAGTGCCTGAGGCTTGTACCTTTGTGTTACCAAAAGGAATCGGTCATCCAGATTAATGTGTTTTCACAGCATGCAGTGATCGGAGTGCCCTCTGCCAGGCCTGCTCTCAGCCTCGTGCTGCCATTCAGAAAGGCTCTGGCGAGGCTGCGCCAGATGAGCACGTGTCTCTCGCTGCGAGTGGCTGGCAGGTCACTGCTGAGTTAGGAGGTATTTCTCCATTTTGAACACTTGAGCACAGAAATTACTTGCCTGGGGGCTCCTTCCTCTTGACGCTGGCCCTATTTTAAAGAGGCCTCCCAGAGCGTGCGGGTGAGTGGCAGGTGGATAGATTCCACCACTAATCCTGTTGTTTGACTAGGACGGAGGAAAGTTGATTCAACAGGCTGAAGACTTGCAAAGCTTTGAAATAACTTTCTTTAATAGCACTTGACATACTGATCCCTTTTCAATGCTCCGAGCCAGCTGCCTTCTCCTGCACTTGATCATTCAGAAATGCTTACATTCTCCGAGCGCTCTGCCAGCAGAGTCTGTGCAGGCCAGAATAAGATCCCTCTCATCCATTTTGCTTCCCTAGCATTTCATATGACCTTTTGGTATCGTGGTAGGTCATGTGCAGTGTAATCATGATAGGCACAATCCCCAATCAACCTGTTATATCCTGCTGTATTTATGGTAACAGATGTGCTGAGAGAGACGTGTTCTTGACCCTAACCCCTCTTCCCTGATTGGGAGCAGGAGCGGAGTATTTTATTTATATGCACACTTTTAAAACTTCTTACCCTATGTACAAAACAGTCAGATAGAAAAGGCTTTTGCAGGTAAAATGCACAGGGCCATTTGATTGAGTGAAAGGTAATTGTAAAGCTGTATACTTCCCAATGAAGAACAATAACAGTCTGTGAGGGCGAGGCTTTTGCGGGATTTTCACTTCTTACTTTGTTTAAACAATTTTCTCATTAATAGTAGCCCAAAAAACTTAAAGATGTATATGGTCTGTGACCTGCCTCTTGTAGAAGGCATTATGGCAGCCTGCAGAGAGCAGCAGGGAGTGTTTCATGCTGACTTGGCTGAAAAGTCTTCCTGCTATGGAGGGGAGGAAAGATGCTTTTGTTTAGAAAAAAGGCTCTGTGTGTGCAGGTACATGCCCTCGCTTTCCTGATTGCTGCCTGCCATAAACGTGCTTACTGAACGCCACTTCAGTGAGCTCACGTTTTGTAACTGGCTTCTTCTGGCTCACTAGGGAGAGTGAGAAGACAAAGCTGCTGATCGCAGCGCAGAAGCAGAAGGTGGTGGAGAAGGAAGCGGAGACAGAAAGGAAGAAAGCCCTCATTGGTCTTGGGGGGGGGGGGGAGGCAGCAAAAAGACCCCAGACACCAGGGAGGGATGCACCTGGTTCATTTCTGGGTGATCTCTTGCTGCATCTATTTGCTGCTGATCTGAAACTTTTACAGAAAAACTCAAAGCGTTTTTCAGGTGGTTTCCAGCTTTGCGCACAAACATCGACTTGATGCCTTCTGAGGGCTGAAAATTCTTCCCACGATTTATTTCCACCAGAAGGGGGTGGTGAGGACTTTCATGGGTGAAATTGCTTGTGGCATTAGGAAGACTGCGTGACAACAGTGTGGATGTGTTCTTTTTCATTTGCAGAGGCAGAAAAAATTGCACAAGTTGCTGAAATAACTTACGGACAGAAAGTGATGGAAAAGGAAACGGAGAAGCGAATTTCAGAGATTGAAGGTGAGTGGCAAGCTTTCCAAAAAGTAAATGTTCTGTGGTGAATTTTACCTAAGGATCCTGAAGCAGTTCCCCATGGAGTTAAGTAGTTCTTGAAGTGTGTGTAGTGACTCTGTTCTTCAATCCAAGCTCACGTCACAGGGGTGAAGTTACTGGTCTGAAGTCTTTAATTTTAGCCCATGTGTGTGGTACCTTCAGTAATGCATTGCAGTTCTGAACAAATGTGTCTGAATACTCGGATTCTCCCAACTTTTTCACAGCCTGTTCTGCAGTGGAGTTTCCAGGGGGTCAGATCAGTCAGGATTATCTGCATTGGGGTAGGGTTGTAGAAGCTTTCCATCCTTTTCTTGCTTAGGATTCTTCTAGAACCTGTCTCTTCTTGGAGGGAACAAGAGGTACACAAATTTAGCTTTAGTTTTTTTATGTAGCGTGAAATATTTAGAAAACAAAGTCTGGCAATTACACACTCTGCAACAGCAGGGTTCTGTTATGTAGCTTCCAGCTCCTAAAGGTTGAGAGAAGGGGAGGGGGAGCTGCTTTTCTTTTGAAAATGTAGTCTTTTGCCTTAACCAATAAATCTGTAATATCTCTGGTTAGTTTGGGTTTTTGCTTTTTCATCCTCTTTTAGCTTTGCAGCTAACTACTTTTAGGACCAAGGATTGACCAGAGGCAGGAATAAGAATGCTTCTTGGCAGACTGTGCTTCTTGAAACTCTCTTTCTCAAGGTGGTCTTTCTAGAAGGTTGTACTGCTATGTTAAGATGATGTCCCCCGACCCATCCGATACAATGCTTTGTCAAGGAAATTCCAGGACATGAAAAGGGGTCTGTGTTTCCAGCTCAGAGTGGCAAGGCCTTATTTATAATTACATTCATTATAGGCCCTGTCAAGCTCTGCAGAAGGCCGCCGAGGAGCCAATTAAGAGTTTTACAGATCAGCAGCTTCTCATTGCTGAAGTTCTCTGCAGAAATACAATGGTTTTTATTTCTTATAAATGTGTGTCACTGGGTGTCAGGCCTTTAGTTCAACTCTGTGCTGGCAGAGGATTCCTGTCTCCCTCGTTCTTTCTAGTGTCTCTGACTGGGACCACTCTTTTTAGCCGAAACAGGGCAAGTCGTGGGCCAAACCATCCAGTTGCTTACATGACTTTTTAAGTGTAGCAGCTCACAGGACTCCTTGCTAGTTTAGGTGAACAAATGGCTTATCCAGCTCTGGGACTCTCAGATCCAGACTGGCTTGTATTAAAATCGTGTGGCTCCCTGTCATAGAAGGAATGTTGAGAGATCACATCAAACCAGCCGGACGACACTCATCTTAGCGTTAGTGTGGTGGCCTGATACCACATCATTATCATTGGATAGATAGAAAGTCAGAAGGAAAAAAAAGGAGTGCGATACAGAAAGGGGAAGTGTTTCTTTCCTTAAATGTCTTCGCTAGGACTCGGGGAATTTCAGTTTCCTGCAGCATTAGACCCTTTATGCAATTGTTGATATTGCAGAGAAACAGCTCTCCAACATCTGTCCGAGGGGCAGAGCCTGTAAAGGTTAAAATCGCCTGCCTCTACGTGCCAGAATCTTAACCTCAATATTCCAGACAAAGCCCCATCTGGGGAATTGCTTTCACAGTCACAGAATTCATCTGCAGAGCAGTCTGCTGTTCTTGGAGGCCTGTGCAAATGTCGTGGGTAAATACCAATTCTGCAGTGGAACAGTTGCTGCGTTTTCAGCACGAGAGTTAGTGGCTGGGGTGAGGAAAAAAAGGGTTTTTCACCCCACGTGCAT